TGTTATTCTCGCTAGAACTAGAACTTATGACTGGTGTGTACAAACGCTAAACGCTATCCATTGAGTCATTATAGCTAGTTTGATAATGATGGATAGTGACATCTACTATCCATCATTACCATCAAGATTACTTCTTTGATTGATTCATATAAAGATATTCAGCAGACAACCATTACACGATGGTATCGCTTCACTATCTTAACAAATAGAAGAAGAGATTAATAACTAGTCATTATAGTACGGTAAATCGTCCAGGATAAAATCCTTTATTGAGCGAATATGATTTATTTAAGGTGCTTCCATCATATCTGATAAAACAACTAAGAAACAATGATTGATATTATTCTATTGAAGACACAAGGTTGTACTGCACCAAAATTTTATTTTTGTTAAAGCTCAATAGCAAAGACATATTTACACTCTCAAGGGGGATCCATATCTGGAAGTACTGTATTTTGAAAATTTGCTACAACTGAAATATATTCATTGACTATTGTATGGTAAACAATGTTCTACTATCTTCAAGAAACATGAAATCTAGGTTCCAACTATTTCTCCTTCGAACGCTTTCATCGACTAACATATGAAGAGAATCATGAAGATGCTTATCTTACCAGTACGATGACTATAGTACGAAATGGATTATCCATTTACTTTGATTGGTTTGTTCTAATACCTCACTATTACGGGGTTCTGCCCCTTCCCCCCCTTGCCGATGTAAGTCAGATAACTTTCTGTTCCTTGAACAGACTAGTTATAAAGATTTAGAGGTAGTGTTCATCATGGACTGACATCAGTTGGCGAACCATTGAAAAACTGGGAGCATTGGAAAGCTGTTATAAAGTAGTGTTAGATACTTCGGTCTTCATAATGCACAAGCCATATTCTACAGCTTACTTTAGAGTATGGTATACTTTATAGTCTGATAATTACAGAGGAAGTTATCGGCGATTGTTTTTCTATGCTCATATAAAGCAATTTATGATGGAGTTAAATATATTCATCTCATTATCAGCTGTAACTACTATGATCAGGCGTTAATGATTCATTTTTCGCGAAAGTATCGAGAAAGCAGAATTGCAAACTGTCTGTTTCTCTGGTGATTTAATTATACACTGAAGTAATTTTTAACTACAGTTAGGGAGTGTTTATGCTACTAGGATAAGTTAGGTTTGACAGGGCTCGAAGCCACGACTCATAACTTGAAACTAGAGCTCCTAATTTGATGAACTACATCTTCAACCTTTTTATTATTATTAAAGGAGGGGGGCAGGGTTAGAAAGTAAAAGTAAGTGTGATATGATTGTGATGTAATTGTTGTTTAGGCAGGCACCCTACGTATCGTTATGTGGCTTAGAAAAACGGTCATAACTTTGTGATAGATGTTAGTTGAATGGAGGCAATCGGCATGATGCCCTGCTACAACAAGATTTCGTTCTTTTTGCTAATCATCAGTAAGGCGTATATGCCACCTCAACGGAATTGACGTCTTACCTCAGATTCAAACCTCATCACCAAGTTCTGCAGTCGTAGACGCTACTACTGAGCTAAGAGGGCAGCGAGTAACCTCCTGTAGAACTGGGTTACATACTAGTCACCGAAGTGTAACCAATTTCCTGTTGTGAAGTCCTAAAGGCTGATCAAATTCTGTTGATCATTTTACAATGTGGTCATCAAGCTTGGAAAGTCAGCATTGCGATGGACTTTGCTAGATCATAGTTGGATGAAGGTAATCGACAGGATGCTGATACTGATCGATATAATTTGACCAGCGTCTACGACTGGATAGCATGAAGTTGGTTGCCCTTCAGTGACTAACCAATCCAGTTATAACCTTCATCAATTCATGCAATATCATGGTGTAGTGAATCTTATCCTCAGTCTATCACAACCTTACTCAAGTTAGCATTCCAAATCGATGTAGGTGATGGCCTGAAGTGTACAACAAATCTTCAAGCCACCTGAGTCGGTGAAAGTGTACAACCACACTAACTGATCTTTTTTTCTTGTCTAGTGCATGATGATTAACTTCAAATATTGCGCATATGGTGGTTTCATCTTGCTACAGCAATAATATAGAGGAATTTATGCTTGAAAACGTGAAGCTTCTAAACATCCTCTGCTCTAAATGGAGATATCTCAGGTGTAAATAAAGAGAAACCATACTCCTTGGCAGCAGCTTACGCACGATACTGAAGATCAGATCAGAAGGCCAGAAAGAATAAGAAATGAGGAACTCTGGAAACGAACCAACCAAGAACAGGTCCCTTAAAAAAAAGCTCAACTGTGTACATAGTCACACAGTAGGGTGGGAATAGAGCTAGGTGAAGGAAGGGAGAGACTGATAACCGATTCTTTGTTTATCGAATCAACACCTAATATGTCCAACAGGAACGATTCTGTACTTGTTTCAGATATATGGGAAATGTTACCACCCTTGTCATCACAAAGAAGGAGAATATTAGAACATCAGTAAATGACACTTTTCCTTCACTGCGTGTGACATTTCTAATAAATATAGACTAAAACAGGTCTACATCTACCCCCCAGTGATCAAGTTTTACTTCTGTATTAATCATCATACTTAGTTACACTACTCTTCAAGGATGTGCTTCTCAAGATTAGTCTCTGTTGAATATGAAACTAATTCATTGAAATATTCAGGTCGTTTGCTAGTTTCACCTCCAATTTTTTGATATCTTCTTTCAATGATGTGTAGACTCTTTACACATTTACATATTTGTCCAATCTACTTATGTCGTATTATACACCCATAACAATGACAAAAGTCAGTTTACTTTCACCTTACAATTTAGTGTTAGTTAATAAATCTATGTATAATATCAATCAAGTGAACGTAGAAAAATAGTAGTCCCCTTATACGGGATAACCTGTAAAGGAGGTGATAACTTGAAACTGTGAGTAGTAGATATTTCTTGAGTTCCACATCTATGGCGTTGGAGAATGTTCTAAGTAGCAAAATAAATCTTTTAGAATAGTCATTCATAGTTTACTACAACCTATGAACCATTGAACTTGATAGGTAGGCAGTGCAGAGATATTTTACATCTGTACATTTGTATCATATATTAATATTCAGCCTACCTATGATATTTTACGACGGAAACCTTCTAGAGATCTTTGCGAAAGAAGAATTACATTTTACACAGATTTCTTTTTTCTATGAAAGTCTTCGCTTGGATCTTTGTTACTGTTCTTTCATACTCTACATTTATGGATAACTACCCAATCAAGGCTGCTGATTGAGTTCTATTCTGAATATCGTTTCTATGATTTAAACATTTAGGATTATGAGTAGCTGAATGACCCTGGTAAGATCACTTTGTTAGTGGGTCTTCTCGACATGATTGTTATACATTTTAAATTTGATTGGTAGATATACAGCTTGTAACCTAGTTTGAACAAATCCTATGTTAGTCCCTCTAAAGTAACAATTTCCGAAAAATCATAATATTTCAAATAGAATTGCATGGAAATCTCTCCTTAATCTTGATCATAAGACTAGTGTTCTTTTCATCAATTAAGAAATAAAACAGAATTTAATCTGATCCATCTACTTTATTGTACATTATATCGTATTGAATGGAGGCAGGTTATCGATAGCTTTGAATAAATGCTAAACAAGTCGTACTGGGCAATAAAGACGTTAAGAAAAGCTCCTCTACCCTTAACATTTCAAGTCTGTTTGCATGTAGCACTGAGAGAGCGTTCAAAAAAGTTATCAAGCCACCGATAAGTATGAAGTATGGGCCCGGAAGGGATTCTATGAGTTCAACACTTATCTATCATCTAATGACATCCAACTAAGAACAAGGCAAGTTTAAAGAACAAAAATCTATCAGTCTATACTTATGGAATGAAGCTTCTCATACAGTAAGTAATGCGAAGCCCTATCAAATCGCCTAAAATATTCAAACGGTTCAACTTGGTACAATTCCGGAGATTTGAATTGGACGACACTTTGTTAGGCTTCATCAAGTTCCAAATGTTATGTAGGAAGGAATGATTTGTTATGGCATGTTGTACAGTAGTGATGAAATATTGTACACCTTCCATTTGGACAGTGTGTTTCATTTCCTCACGACTTGCTCTTAATACGCTCAGATTGTCTCTTGAGTTCTTCTGAGCAGAATATTTATCCATCACTGGTAATCGCTTATGATTTATGCCAACCTCTCAACATATACTACTTACATCCATTCTTATCAGTAGCACCCATTACAAAAGTGGTAAGATGAACAAAATGATACCATGAAACTATTAGGATCTAGTATTCTGAGTAGTGAGACGCTCCCTTCAACTTCTTCGTCAATGAGTAGATAAGTCTGTAATCCCTGTCCAATAACATTCTAAAGATACAAACCTCATAACTTGCTTGATCTATCCCATCGAGTATTTATTGTATTGGGATTAGGAATTCGCTTGTAAAGCTGCTCTTCAACTCCACTTCCGGTCTTCAACTACCGAATACACCGGACCGCGGCTGGATTAAAACCAGTCACCACCGGGTTACCGGCCCGATGCTCTACCAATTGATCTACATTTTCATATCACGTCCAATCATCACCTAGTATAAATACTAGTCTGCCAAACTACGGCTATCTCAGATAGTCAAATGATAATCAATATGATGCTCCCCTTCCTCTCTGATTCAGTTAGATTGGAATGAGAAGTTCTGAGTAGGCAGTCAGTGTGAATACGATCAGGTGGTAGTAACACGTCACGAATTCATATGGTAGTCGGGTAAATCCCACTTTGTGATTGAAATGAAAGAGAATTCTGGTAGTAGTCGGAACTCGTAACTCAGTTGGTAGAGCACCGGGCCGGTAACTAGATGGTCGCTGCTTCGAATCCGGGCGCGATCCAGATTTTCATCTCACCTTCAATCGTCGCCGAGTATAAATACAACTTATTAGTGTCTATATTTATGAATGATTTCATTAGTTGGAATCTAATCTAAGTTTATAACCTTCTTCTAGTATCATTTCAGTTCTAGTGAATCAGATATCAGTTTTAAGAAGAGAGATCTATCTTCCCTGGAGAAATTCATTGACAAGAAGCCAATTCAAAATGCGTAAGAGAAAAAGAATTTATGGTTAATGATAAAAATATTGAATTGGGTTTTTAATCATCTTGATGACTAAATAAAGTTTAGGATGCGCGTTTTGACCTATTTCCGACTCATCAGCTGGCGGATGTACCTGCATCCCAGTGAGTGACATTGTTCCCCTTGAAATTTGAAACCAGTACACATCGCTTTAAGTGTCATAGTATTACCCACTAGGTCAATGGAGCATATGAGTCACCCGTTGTGCAATGAGTTTCAGTAGTTGTTTAATACTTATAATTTCCTGTTGGTATACAGGGACAAATTACTCGAAAGGCAGCCTATGTGGACGCCTCCATATGTTATATTCCTCATGGTGAGAAGCAATGAAATCCAGTTTGCGGGAAGCAGAGATGAATTAGACGGTCAAACAGTCCAATTGAAAGGTTGCTGAGATCTCTTTTTGTTCATTGATTGCACAACGAGTAGTTTCTACTACTATACAGCAACTCGGTTTGTCTTCTTTGGTTGTTGCATCCTTTGATCGTAATTTTATAACGCCGCTTAGTTCAGTCATTCTTAGATCAGCTGAACTCTAGATCTCCCAGTATCAAGTTCAGCTGACAGAAATAAACGGATAAGGAGAAACTGCCTCTCCTTGATTGTCTTGTTAAGTGGAAATAAAATGGACACTTAGGTATAACCATTTTCAGGAAGGCAACATATTCGAACAAATATTTAGACTTCAACTCATCATATCCAATTAGTGTGAAAGTTTTTGTTGCCTCCAGTCTCTTATAGAGAACAAATACTGTAGTAACGTAAAATTCATTCGGAAAATAAAATATAACATTAAATTAGATCGTAAAATTACTCCTAAATCATGGGCCTCAACAATAGTTATCTCTTACCGATCATATACATCGAATGAGATTAGGAGAGTGCTCAAAAAATACAATATCATCAGACAGAGTGTTCTACAGAACATCAAACACACATTGCAGAGCACTACAGTTCATTCGAAGGATAAGATCCCTCCAGATTCACAATCTAATAGTGTTTATCAAATAAAATACTCAGACTATGATGCCAATATACATAGGACAAACTTTCCATGAAGTCGAAATTAGGTAAAAATGAACACCGAACAGCTCCCACCTGACCCTTTAGAAATCCAGTAGAACTGGAAACACATCAACCATACATCTATATGTCATGATTTTAGATCACAAGGTCGACTTTGATAATATCGAAATTATTATTCAGAGATTTGGCCTTATAAATTATAAAGAATGTCTCATAACACAATCTCTTCATATACAGAATGGAATCATAAGTGTCTAAACAGGAAGGAATGAGAGAGTAAAAGGTAGTTACTTTCACCTGGTTTCAACCCACTTCCACCTACTCACATAACCAACATACATCAAGGCGATAAGAACTATCACCAGCACATGTGTGTACAGATAAATCTCAATTTGTAATTCATTCACAACACACTACAATTCTGACAACGCAGAATGCACTAAATAGTGAGATGTCAGTTGAAAGAAATTGCCTATGTTTTACATTCTGATTGGGAAATATATATATATACGAAAATAATAAGGCATTTAAGTTGTTCAGTAGTGTGTTATCTTCCTCGAGATCATGACAATTTTGTCAGAGATCATATCTTGTAAATTTGATTGAGTCGCTTTCAACTGATACTACAGTTGGCCAATTGAAAAACTACACAACTTTGAGAAATATTAACATGGATTGTACACTTTGTAAATCATTTCAGATATAATGATCATTTTATTTAACGCATTTTCTCCTCTCATAGACATTTTAAGCTAAGTTCCATCACTGACTTAGATCAAATCAAATGTAAATTTACTTGCACTGGATACCTGTCGATTCATATTTTCCTAGTTCTTAACAATGTTGTATAGCATCAATGATGGATAGGATGCAATTGAATATTTTCAAGTTGAAAGAGAAAAACAGATCACATATTATTGAACCAATAATATGGAATGTTCATCATCATAGAACAGAGCATAGAATGGCAATCAGCTCTCTACCTCAACTTTATCGACTTTGAGAAGGCCTTTGACAACGTCGACCGAGAGGTAATTTGGAAACCGCTTCAATACTACGGAGTACCGCAAACCTTTATCCGCCTCATTCAACAACTATATGAAGATGCCACATGCCAAGTAATTCACAATGGGAAGCTCAGTGATGCCTTCAAAGTGAAGTGAAGACAGGAGTGAAACAAGGTTGCCTACTATCCCCCATGATATTCCTGATTGTGGTCGACTGGACTGGATCATGCAGCAAACAGTGGGGAGCGAGAAGAGGGGGGATACGCTGGACTGTGGAAAAGATCCCAGAAGACTTGGATTTCGCCGATGACTTGTGCCTGATGTCACATAAACTTGAAGATCTACAGGCGAAAACTAACAAGTTGACAGAAGAGGCAGTGAAGACCGGACTTCCTTCAAGTGAATATAGAGAAGACAGAGGTGATGAAGATACTCAACCAATAACAACAACAACAACAACCTCCAGTCACCATCAACGGGAGAAACTTAAAGGAAGTAACCTCCTTCACTTATCTAGGAAGCACTGTTTCAACTACAGGCGGGACGGACGAGGACGTCAAAGTCAGAATCGGAAAAGCAAGACAGGCGTTCATTAGCCTGAAACCAGTGTGGAGATCTTCTGCACTCAGCATGTGGAACAAGATACGGATTTTCAATACCAACGTCAAGTCAGTGCTTCTGTATGGTTGTTTGACTTGGCGCGTTACGAAAGGGATTTCCAATAAACTACAGACATTCATCAACAACTGCCACCTACGCTCGCTACTGAAGATCAGATGGCCAGAATAATGCGAAAAAGCAACAAGGAGCTCTGGGAACGAACCAACCAAGAACCTATCACCCAACAAATATGCAGTGGAAGGAAGTGGAGATGGATTGGGTTGGGCATACACTGAGAAGGCCGACTGGGGACATCACGCGTCAGGCCAGTTGCTCGAGTGGAATCCCCATGGGAAGCGACGAGTTGGGTGTCCCAGCTGAGGTTGACATGGAGGAGGTCGTGCGAGGAGTAAATGAGAGGTTGTGGGCTGTCGTGGAACCAGGTTCAAAAGATCTCAGAGAAGAGAGGTCACTGGAGACATGCTACTGAAGCCCTGTGTTCCAATAGGAACCCAAGGGACTAGTAATATAATAAATATAATAATATGGAATGTTAATCAGAAACGGTTAGTATAAGAACAAAGGGTGTACACCATACACCATGTGTAAGATAGTTTTCAGAAAGGAAAAAAAAATTTCACTAATTTTACACAATTGTAGACAATAATTTCTTTCATTCAGATTTCTTAAATTGCGCTTTTTCACAATACTTTTGTGTAAATAAACAGTTTCCATCCAGTTGAGAACATCCTTGAATTACTTCTGCTAGTAATGTTTGTCATCATCATTATTATCAACATAGGACCAGGCATTACTGCGTAACGGTCTGAGTTCAGTGCATCAAAGAAGAAAGGTAGTAAGGTGGAAGATGAAGATAAGAAAATTCAGTCAAAAGAAATGTGAAGTACGAAAAGAGAGAAACGAAGAATGAGAAAATGGTGAGATTCGGCATAGCATCGTTGAGATGAGAACAATGTGTGTGTGTGTATACATCTGCGCCACTGACATCGGTTCTCAGCCATATCCGCTACAGTTTCCAACCACTGGTTCCTCTTGTCCCGCCAACCCCAACCACCCAGTAGTCTGCACCGACCCACATGCCTCAAACCAACAGTCAAAGACTTCATACATTGGTGCCATGTTTTAGTCTGGCCATCTCCGATCTTTTTCCAGCCTGGGCCTACTTTAGCCAACATTGTATAACAAGGCAATCGATCAGCTAATATTATATTTATCCTGGTAACTAACAGTGGAATCCAAGGTGCGCATTTCATACTATTGAAGTCTCATCCGTCAGTTGGATATACCGTCGCCTCCAGTGAGAGTTGTTGTCTTTACCGAGACTCGAACCCTGTATACATCGCTTTAAACTCCAAAGCGTTATCCACTGATATTTAGCTAATGGAAATATTATCATTACACCTTATTAGGTATATCCCCTTACCCCGATTATTGAAAGGATTTTACTCTGTTAGTAAAAGTTTATACCAATAGAAACTAGCGAACTTGAGTGCTCAAAATAATAGTTCAATGTGATTCCTATAAAAAAAAAACTCTTAACATATTGCATTATATTATTGAAGTAGTTACTGTCTGATTTACCTCATATAGGCTAGCTAGATGTACCTCCGTATGTGACGAAATCTATAGTTCTGTAACTACTTAGTATCCTTTTTACAAAATATTTTCTCAGTATTTCTATTATTGCTAGCTGAGCAATATTTATCTGTTTTCAGTGATGAAATCGACAGTGGCTCAGATTACGTATGGTAAACATACACTGAAGTGAATTTGTTACATACTGCCAACATTATCCAATTATAAGCATAAGAGATGCTTGTGAAAAACTGTTAATACAACTTTCCATTGCTGTTTATGTTCAATTTTATCTCCCTTTTGAAAAAACAAACAAACAAATGTTTTTAACAATTTTAAGCCCATAAATTATTTGATGCAAATTTGTAATCTATCATTTAAACTATTATCAACAAACAAGGTAAAATGATAGCCTGATATAAGAAAATAAAATGGAAGATAGTCAGCTGTGGTAAAGTTATTAAAGACTGAAGAGATTCTCAAGTCAAAGATTTACGTTGTTATGCAGGTGAAAATCTAGAAGGTTAGATAAGTAAAAAGGGGCTACATGGATTGATGCCTATACCTTAGTATTTTCTATCTTAACCCTGAACATATAATGGAGTCGGTAGAGATTGACAGTTCGGCAATGATTAATATACATTCAAATCAATGCTGGTTTAAGGCTTCATCCACTGTCTTACTTTTTTTTTTACCTAAGATTCTACTTTTAAACTATACGGTGACCAATTGATGGTTTCATCGATGCTAAATCCCGCCAGAAGCACTGATGGCAGACGCAGAGACAACAGTGGACATGCTCACACTACTATTGCAGAAAGTCTGGAGGGAAGTAAAGGTACCTGGCGATTGGAAGAAGGGTTACCTTGTCTAACTACCGACGAAGAGAGACCTAAGTCTAGCGCGGAATCACGCTGCTGTCCACCCAAAGAAAGCAAAATATTAAGCCGCATCATCCTGAAGGAACTAAAAAATGCGCTGGATTCAAAATTACGACCAGAACAGACTGGCTTCTGGAAGTAGAAATCATGTGCGGACCAAATTGTAACGCTTCGCATCATCATAGAACAGAGTATAGAATGACAATCAGCTCTCTACCTTAGCTTCATCAACTTCGAAAAGGCCTTCCACAGCGTCGACCGAGAAGTAATTTGGCAGTTGCTTCAACACTACGTAATACTACAAACCTCTATCAACCTCATTCAACAACTATACGAAGACGCCATATGCCAAGTAATTCACAATGGGAAGCTCAGTGATGCCTTCAAAGTGAAGTGAAGACAGGAGTAAGATAAGGTTGTCTACTATCACCCATGATATTCCTGATTGTGGTCGACTGGATCATGCAACAAACAGTGAGGAGCGAGAAGACGGACATACGCTGACTGGACTGGGGAAAAGATCCTAGAAGATTTTGATCTCACCGATGACTTGTGTCTAATGTCACACGAACTCGAAGATCTACAGGCAAAAGCTAACAAGTTGACAGAAGAGGTAGCGAAGACCGGACTTCCTTCAAATGAATATAGAGAAGACAGAGGTGATGAAGATACCCAACCAATAACAACAACAACAACAACAAACTCCAATGACCATCAACAGGAGAAATTTAAAGGAAGTAGCCTCTTTCACCTATCTAGGCAACACTGTTTCAACTACAGGCGGAACAGGCACAGACGAGGACGTTAAAGCAGTCAGGATCGGAAAGACAGCAAGACAGGAGTTCATAAACCTGAAACCAGTGTGGAGATCCGCACTTAGCATAAAGTGTGAACAACATCCGGATTTTCAACACCAACTTCAAGTCAGTGCTTCTGTATGGTTGAGAGACTTGGCGCGTTACGAAAGGGATTTCCAAAAAACTACAGATATTCATCAACAACTGCCCACACTGGCTTGTTACTGAATCTCAGATGGCCAGAATAATGAGAATAAACAACAGGGAACTCTGGCATGGCGACGAACCAACGAAGAACCTACCGCTCAACAAATATGCAGAAGGAAGTGGAGATGGACTGGGCATACACGGAGAAGACCATTCGGAGACATCACGCGCCAGGCCAAGTCGTGGAACCCAGATGAGAAACGACAAGTTGGGCGTCCGAGTCGAGGGTGGCATGAAGGAGATGGTGTGAGGAAGAAATGAGAGCTTGTTGGCTATCGTGCAGCCAGGTTGTGAAGATTGCAGAGAAGAGAGTGTAATGAAGACGTGCTACTGAATCCCTATGTTCCACTAGGAACCCAAAGGACAAATAATAATAATAAATATCATAATCCCTGGTGGGGCAAGGCATAACTGTATGTATTAGCTCTAGAATAATAACAGTTACTCATGCAGAGTTTAGAACCTAAGGAACTATAAACGATTAAATAGGTCATTCACAGTTTCACTAGATTAAGGTGTCTACTTAGATATGCATGGCTTAATCTCTGAGACAAGTATATAACTACTGGCAGGACCAACCAGTTGATTCACAGAACAAAATACCCAAAATTTACACTGATTTTCAGAAGAGAACTGAACAGACATCTAGGCTTTTTTAAAACTAGGCTGGCATACAGTCTCATCCTGTGCCGAAACCACACAGGTGCCATCATCTCATCCGCACCAATTTGTTTGCATAAACAAGCATAGTTATTCTGATCAATTATGTACCGTGTGGACAAGCAAATTTTGACCTAGCTTGATTACACGACCTATCAAATACAGTAGCGAACCAATTTTATATATGATAGGCTTTCAACAGACCATCAAGATCATTGCAAAAGACATACTACAACTGCATTAATGAACCTTTAACAGCATATAACTTTCAGCTCTGGATATCAATATAGTCTAGGCTATATTATAGATAGTGTGAAGCTGTTTGACCTAAACAAGCTTAAAACCCGTTACATCATTGCAATGGTCAAGTGATGTGTCTCAGTGTTCTAGCAAGAGACGGCAGTTGTAAGATTTGGCACAGGTTTTGGATATTGAAAGCACCAATATGAAGTCGATAGCGAGTAATAATAGACTAGGAATAGTGTTTCGCTGGATTACATCACTGGCAATAATAGCAGAGTGAAAAGTTAAGAAAGTTGTAAGAGGCTTAATATTGCTATCAGGAGAGGAGACAAAGGTAGACGTGGTAGGTCATTTGAGTTCTTTATAGTGATAGAAGCATATGGACCCACATATTAAAAAAGAATAGATCTACGCAACCGCAGAGTTTATCGGCTTTTTGAGCATAGTTCGTTTGAGATTCGACTATGCTAACGTTCAAAAAGAAAAAAAGTTTTGTCGCCGGCATCGGAATACTGCAGGTCAGGGAAGAGTTTGATAATTTTAGGGGTAAACTTCACATATTAAGAAGACAGTATCACTATCGTACTGCTAGTTGTGCATGGGTATGACTTGTCACTGCTGTCATGCCTCGCCGACTCACCAAAACAACTTTATCGTCATACCTTAGTTATTTACATTGTGATAAATTCTTTTTGATGTGTTAGTATTTAGTAGACATTCCTGGGATTGTAAGGGGTCAAGAGACAAGCGTAGTTTGTTGATCTACTGTGACAAGCAAATCCAACCACATCACATCAAAGTAGCAGTTCTCCGTCAGGATATTTTATAGGCTGGTGTTATATTGTGTAGTCTGGCCAACTCTAATCTCCCCCCACCCCCCCATCAGCATATAAACCTACTCCAGTTAACGTAACCAATATCCCAAGCCAGATCGATCAATGAAGGCTCATGATCTCATCAATCATTTTATCTTTTCTTTTGTTTAAAACAGTAATCCTCTTTCTTCACATTAACCTGATTAGGATACTTGCTCTTTCGTAACAAAAAAAATTCATCTTCAGCAGAATGTCCAACCACTTATCCACTATCACTAATTACATATTGACTAGTATCATTAAAATGTAACTATCTACAGAAATAAATTATCATAAAAAAAATCAACCGATTCACTTTATAGATAATGAAATGAAACAAAACTTTTAACATACCTCTATTGTTTTTCATAGAAATGAGACAATAGAGAGAAAATAAACTCAGTCTGATAAAATTGAAGAATGCCACATGTTTATATATATATAGTACTTTAATGGGATTTAATTTACACTGGAATAAATAATAAGATGTCCGAATCGATGATGATGACAACATAAAAGCAGAAGGGAACATGTTTACAAAGAAACCATAGCATAATCATAGTTATTCAACGATGATATTGTATATATAGATCATACTATATTATGAACTGATAGAAGTAGGATTCCAATCCTCAGTGACTTGCTGCTCAATAGTAATACATAAACTATTAAACTTGAAGGATATGGGTTCGAGCCCTAGGTGTAGTGTATACTGTTGGATCAAAATTAATAATCATAATAAAGGCACAATAGATGAAGTAATACTTTATTTCTCCTTCTTCTTCTTGTTGTTTTTCACCCCATAGATGATCTGATTCCGGTGTATATAAAAAAAAAATTATTGATTGATTGATTATTTTTAATCTGTAATCATTAAAGGATCATTTTTTCTCTATCTTTATTCATTATCTTCTATTTTTCTTCTTTTAATTGAGGAACTGAATTACACTGATGATATCGATTAATATTTATAGGTGGATCACAAATATATCGATTACTAATTAATCGATATTTACATAAATTCATATAATAATAATCAGTTGATAATAAAGTTAATTGAACACCACTAGCTATTGAACCTTCATAAAAAAATTGTAAATTAACAGGTTGTGGTCTACTTGGACCATTAGTTAATGTAAATTTAGCTCTAACAGTACCAGATGAATCTAATTTTAGAGTAAAATTAGAATGATGAAAATTATTATTATTATTAAAATTAGGATTATATAAAGGGATACGCCATATAGCATGATTACTTTCAGGTAACCATGTACCAATAGGAAGACTTTGCATACGATTTACTGTTCCATCAACTTTTAAGTTGATGCATAAATCACCAATATTTTTCATAGAACTAATCAATAAAATAAAGAAAAAAAACGAGAGAAAAAAAGTTTAGTGTATATGAAATTTTCTAAGGATTTATTATTGAAGCATAACTCTGTTTTATGGTTGAAATGAATTGAATTGGTAGTCAAGTAAAAACCCTTAGTGATTGGAGTAAAATAAAAATCTGATCAGCAATCGGACCTAGTAGGCCAGTTGACAGAACATCGGACCGGTAACCCGATGGTCCCTGGTTCGAATCCGGTCGCGGTTTAAATTTTCATTTCACATTCAATCATCACCCAACAGAAACTGAGTGATATGATTGAAGGTGAGATCGTGGATCGTGGGCACGATTTGAACCACTGATCACTGGGTTTCCAGTCCGATGCTCTACCAACTAATCTACGAAATTCGATTGGTGATCAGATTTTTAGTTCACTTCAATCACCAACTGCTTTTACGCGACTGCCATATGAATTCGTAACGCCATACTATCGCTGCCTAGTGAAATGAAATTCTCTTCAGCAGTCAGACCTCGTAGGCCAGTTGATACAGCATCGGGCCGATAACCCGATGGTCGCTGGTTCGGATCCAATCGCGGTCGAGATTTTCATTTCACCTTCAATTATCACCCAGTATAAATAGAGTAGTCTATCAAACTACAGCCATCTCAGTTAAAATGATAATCAATCAGTATCAAAAGATGAACAACAACACAAGGATATAAAGCATACAAAACTTCAGAAATAATAGGAAACCAAAATCTCAATCAATCAATATTTCATATCTCTAGCCAATATGTAATCGAATAAGGATGGAAAAATAAAAATAAATAACAGTTACAAGGGAAAAGTAGTTGTAAAGTCCTAATAAGATAAATAAAAATAATCTTTTCTGACGCTTTGCAACCTCTTCCTACAATAAACCACATTCAAACAATCCTGTAGAAAAGCAGAATTAACAGATCGAATCGGCAATTATTATTCATACCCTCTATCGATAATGGAAATATTAAAATTACTCAAAAAGTTTCTTCAAACAACAAAAAAAAGATGGATAGCTGAGATAGCTTACAATATGGTTGAATCCTGATGTATTCAACTGAAGGAAGAATAGCCTAATTGATTTTGATAGCAATATATTCTCTCAGATAGATAATTGAATCATGGAGCTTTTGTCATTGTAGACAACATCATCAGTGAAAACTTCAGAAAAAAGTGAGTTATAAGGTTTTCGCTACAACAATAGATTGTGGAATCAACCTTATACCTAGCCTCTTTCCAAACTTTGTGCTGTTGCTGATGACACTGTGTAGAATGACGACGAAAGCATCACGATTAAATCATCCAACTGAGAGGAAATAACGCCATCAAAATTATCCACCAGACGTACAAATATTCTCTATCATCTCAGAAGGCTTAACTAGACAATCAAAACCACACCCATTCACAGATTCACCGTGAACTCATAGCCTATCACTTCATAATGCTCACATGTATTCCCATATTATTATTGTGTATGATATGAACAACACGATCTAATTTGTCTCCATTTACTATGTAAGCAAGCATATGATAACTCGTACAAATTTGATTCCTATCGGAGGAAGTGACTACCATGAGGTCGTGAAATGTTAGAAAATTATTCTTCTAGCTCATTGGAATTTTCAAGTCTATAAAAGCAACCGTTACCATTTATTCAAATGTTTTGCACATTGTGGATGAATAAAATGATGGGAAACAGTCTTATTCATCATAATCTCACCTATAACCTTACACATATATTGAAGACATCATTACATAAACAACCAAATTTGACTTCCTAACAGGGAGGCTAGCGGAAAACGGCTATTCTACCAGATTCATTGATAAGAATATGCGAGAAACACATGAGAAACCAATCATCAATTCAGTGTCTAAAATAACTTTCTTCATAAATCTCGATTTCAAAAGGTGACACAGCATCAGATATCTTGAAAAATTGTGTTTCCAGATCAATTAGTAGAACTTCTTTCACATCAAAACTTCACTTGATCTTTACCAGTCGTAAATTGTTCTCCATTTGTATACACGACAATATCCCTCGAAAGGCTACATCTATGTGTATCTACCAGTTTACCTGTTCCTGGGAAGCATGGTATATCGGCTGTACTCAGAGACTGCTGTCACCAAACACACCAGAACATACTCCTGCTTGATTTTATAAGGGTGGAAGGGAATGTATCAGAAGTTATATCCTTGAACATTCAATCGATTCCAACCATTCAACCCACCCGAAACAATGATTTCAAGGTTGTCTATCGAATCCGCTGAAGCACCTCTTGTTTCCTCCATGTTCAACTTCTTAAAACACCAGAGACCTTGACTATCCGTGAACTGAAGCCTGACCTCTGAGTGCAAAAGAAGTATGTACAGTCTTAGTCTCTGAAATGATGGAGAATATTTGTAGCTCAGGTGGATGGTCTTGCTTGTTGAAACAACCCAGCTCAGAGAACACAATACAACCAAGTCTTAGTTTCTACATGAGCCTTAACTTATTTTAGTCTTGGTGTGTTTCCTTCCCTTTATGATTGTTTCTTCAACTTCCTCTTTGGTAGATTCATGTTTATACTCTTATATCGTCATTATCATTATTATTGTTACATTTAATAGTTTCCGGTGTTATTCCATTTCATCTTCCTAATAAACCCAACTTTTAACAAAACATTTTCAATTTATTCCAATCACCCTGTTGTCTCATTCATAGCACCTAATCACCTTTCATTGTTGATTAACTTTACCACGTTTTCACCCCTTTTTAATCTATTTCCACCTTATAAACGATGACTACATAAGACAGAGTTGTCATCAGTATTCACAACAAAGTGAAGGTTAATCACAGTCTCAACACACAGTACAATCCGTCACTATCGATATACGAACCAAGATTGGTAGGAAGACGGTTCAAGTTATAGCAAGCACACCTCATATCAACTGTAGATTAAACATAGAAGAGAAGGAATGATAAAGTAATAGAATTCGGTATTGATAATAGATAATGATTGAAGGTGAATTGAAAATTTGGGCTACGGTAGGATTCGAACCGGGTCTTAATTTCACTTCAATCACCAAGGATACGACGATTTACAATGGTCGGATGTATCTACACCACAGATATCAGTTGTCAGCCACATCGTCTAGGGTATCCAACCACCACCAAACTCCACATATTTCAGACTAACACTCAGAGATTTCACAGTTTCCAGGCTTAAACCTACTTCACTAAAAATTGTATGACAATATAGACAGTGATTGGATATGCGTGATATGTCCCAGCCACTATAGTCGATGACTTCTACGTTAGTCATGTCATGTCATCACGACGTATAGCTGATGCCACAAGGTCAATACCAGCCAACCACTTGAGGCTAAACACGTCATATCCGTTACCTTTAATTGACCATGTTGCACAGCTTCATAATAGAAGAGAACTATTAGAATCAGTAAAAATCAACATGAACCATGTAGAAAAGGTGGTTCTCGTGACTCAATATGGCATTGAAAGCCACCACTACTAACTTCGAGTCCCAAAATAGGATAAAATAAGCGTTGTGAGAGTTTAACACTTCAATGCCAAAGAAAAACAAACAACTAACTTACTCTTTATTAGCATTCATTGTAGGCCATTGAGCTGTATAGTCTAAACGAAAATCTGTAGTCAACGCTTCACAACGCCAATATGTACATAAATGTATTGGAGGTGTTAATGCAGGATATAATCCTTTCACATGTGCATTCACATCAACTGTATAAGTTAAAACATCCAGTTTAATGTATGTTGGTGAATTGGATGAAGATATAGACGAATTCAACTTGTCTAAAGTATCCTCATTATATATAAATGAATTATTTTCTGTATATGAAATAATTGATGGGAAAAGATAACATGAAAGTACATCACCTGGAATAGTAAGTAAATAGTCTGAATTATCATTTTGTTTTTCTATTTCAGACCTTGTATCAGTAGTATTTGTTCGATTGTCGAGTAAAGATGATTGAAACATAATGGTAGAGTTGGTAGTTTCTGTAAATAAACTGTTGAAAACAAAGAAATCTCAATGAATGAAGTATCTATGTTATCATAATTGTAAATTCGAATTAAGAACATATGTGCTGATGATTGACATTTATTCACAATTAGGGAATCTAAAATACCCGTTTACACTTATGATTATTAAAGACACATCTTATTCACAGATGGCTAGAGGATATGAATTTCATGTGTACAGCTTCGTACAGACACTGCTGTCAAATAAGTATGCAACATGAGATTTAGTCAATATGGTGAAAAGCAAACACAGTTTGTACTCATCATCATCATCAATATCACCATAGAAGCAGAAATTACTGCATAAAAACACTCCTAGTTTTTAGTATAATTGTTTTTATATGATACCGTCGTAGATTGGACCGAATTGATCGGTCTCTATTGGCATATGGTGTCCTGTGTGGAAGCCTCGATATTGCCAGTGTTCTAATGATGTTAATGATGGATCGTGGCTAGCAGTGGAATCCAGGATGCGCATTTCGTCCTATTTAGGACTCGTCAGCTGGATGCACCTGCTTCCTAGTGAGTGACGTTGTTCCCACCAATATTCGGACTCGGTCGTGTAGTGGATAACGCGCTGGCGTTTGAAGCGATCGCTCCCGAGTCAGAATCCCAGTGGGAACAACATCACCCACTGAGAAGAAGGTACATCCAACTGACGAGTCCCAAATAGGACAAAATGAGCATCCTGGATTCCACCGCTAGCCACGACCCATCATTAACACTCCTAGTTGTCACACTTCATATCAGCACAAGTAAAAAAGCAGTAAGACAGAAGATGAAGAAAGAGAGGATGGAGAAAATGTTGAATTCAGTATAGCGGTTAGTTTGAAGGTAAACTATGGATATATTTGCGTCGCTGATATCGATCTTGAACCATATTGTCTAGAGTCTCTAACCACTGGTTTTTGCAGTCATACGAACCCCTACCAGCTACTTCGTATCTTCCAATATGGCTCATACCAACAGTTAAGTACTTCATGCAGTGATGCTATGATTTAGTCTAACCTGAATGTACAGTTTATATTAATCTTTGATAACCGTTGAATGATGTTTTGTACTACAGACAGATAGATAATTAACGCAGAACCTCGCACACACACACATACACATACAAAGAACAACTGGATAGAAAAACACTGAAGCCAAGGTATACAAAGTTGTATGAGACAATATGAAATTTCAATATAATGGTTAGTGTAAATATTCCACAGTGAATACATCTACGCCAATGTAAACGATTTTCAGTCCATAACCCAGACAAGCAGCCAACATCTATCTAAAAAACAAGGACCAATAGTAAGCGACTTTATCCACTTGTGCCACTTTTACTGCTCTCGCCACCTTGAACCTAACTAACAACCGAATCAAACTTACCCTAGAATAGCACTTCGAGGTGGACGATGGATCGCGATGCCTATCACATAACCTAACCAGCTCAGTCAACCAACATTCACAACTTCATGAACCAACTTGTCTGTCTTGACTAATACCTTTCGCCTGATCTCAACACTACTCATCATACGGTGATCCCACAGAATCCATGCAATTCTACGAAAACATCTATCATCAAAACGCTGTAACCGCTTTATATCTTCTAGTTTCAGCGGTCACCTCTCACAGTCACACAACAAAACTAAACGAATTGTAGTATAGTATACTCGTCCTTTAACAGGTAGTTAGATATATCTCGCCAATCAGGGACATAGATGACACAAGATGGCAAGTGCTAAACGAGCCTTCCCAGCTTAGATTTTATCAGAAACTAACCCCGTTGGGGATGATGCAACTCCACCACTTCATAACTCCGACTAATATATCCATCAAAGTGTTTGTCACAGCTATTTATATCGCAGTAAATAACACTATTCATCACGCCTAGATAACATAGATAGATATAAACCTATAATTTATAAATCAGGTATTCGGACTAAATAAGAAAGAGAGAAACAACAACAAATAAAACACTTATACTATTAGGTTTGTGAAAAACTGTCTTTACGCATTACAAATTATATTCTCTAATATTTTTTTTCCGATATCTTCAAAATGTACAAAAATATGTAAATCAGGACACTATATGCCTGACTAGTTAATGAATCAATGTTTCAATGTAGAAAAAACATATCAACAATATGTTTTATTATACGATAAGCGTTCCCCAGATCCTCAATAAGAAAGTCTATATTAGCTTACTGAAGCTCTCCTTCGATGTTTCAAGAAAAATCACATGAACCTACATGTAAATATCAAATTGATTGAATAGGCAAAATCAATAGGATATGTCCTTCTGGAGATAATCAAGGTTATTGTAAATAAGTATAAGCCGTTGTATTTTGTGCATAATTTTACCCTGTAGTAATATACACCTTTTCTCTTCATCTTACAGCGTTTTTTATTTACCGAAGAAATGAATAATCACCACGGGGGAAGGAGTAAAACTTAAGCAGTATGGTCGATTGTAATTCCATTTTATTAGAAATATTAGACCCACTGAAGGAACAGTATCATTTACTCGATAGCAATGTTTCCAACACAATGGTATTGTCCATATTCATATCAGCGAACTAACTCCACAACATCGAGACAAACTTTATATAGTCTTAATGTTCTCTTCTTCTTCATGATGATAAACGCAGTAGGATTTTCCATTTATCTGGGACAGGTGCATAATCATTTCCATTCCATGTATTTGGTGTTGATTCGATAAACAAAGATTCAGTCGGTTATCCCTCCATCCAAACAACTTAGTTTTCAACATTGTCGCCCTACAACAACCCTACAACGTGATTGTATAAAATTGCATGCATCGCTATAGCTGAACTTTTCTTGAAATTCCTTATCTTATTAGGACCTACTAATCTTGATTTAGACAAGTTTTTGTGCTCTGTTATTCTAATAGACACCGGTCGAGTACTTTGACCTGTGTATTAGGAATACATAAACTCTGTCTCAAAATTATTGTGTTACCTGATATGAATATGGACAACAAATTGTATCCGAAACGTTGTTATCCAGTAAATGATACTGTCCCTACACTGTGAGATGTTTCTAATAAACAGACTAAAATGGAAGGGAGAAGAAGATTTGACGGGTTACAGTTCTAGTGTCTATTCTTATATAAATATAATTCGGATATATTAAAAACATGAGGCTCAATCATAATACTTACGTTACTGCCTTAATCAATATTAGAGTAAAATTTGAGCACTGTGGTAGAATGTAATTCCATATCATTTGACTTATAACATATATCACACTGTGAAGAAACAGTATTACTTACTGGATTACGTTTCGGACACAATTTGTCTCTCATAGTCATATCAGGACAACTTCATAACTTTGAAACTTGCTTCATACACTTCTAATTGATAAGTTCCTTAGTAATTGTAAGGAAAATATGACTAATATTAATAATAAAGATGTCAATAATGATAATGGTGGCAATATGGTAAAGAGAGAATCCAACCCCTTAACGATATTACCATCCAAGGAAGTCACCTCAGAGACATTACGAAGAATTTTCAATAAAGCTGGCTGGGATTAAAAGTCACATTTAAACTAACAAACTCGCTTAGAAACAAGCCTTGTAGATTAAAAGATCCTATTGATGCAATTAAGCAAAATAATCTGGTTTACGAAATCCCTTACAATGATTCCGAAGTCAAATACATAGGTTGGTCAAAGTAGTCGACCGGGATCGATTAGAATAACAGAACACAAACGTTTTGTTATGATGCAGAGTGGTGAGAATGAACAAAATTACTTAACGATTGATAGTCGATGGTTGAAATGATTCAACCCGAGTGATTCGCAAAAAGAAATCAAAAAATTGGTAATCAGTTGAGCTTATAATATCTCGGACTGAAAACGTTTATCAGTGAAAACAGACCCTGTTTACAGAGTTTACAGTAACCTTGAAAGATAAGAAACAATTGATACATTTAAAAAGGCAGGAGCTAATTAGAACTTTAGCGGGTCATATGAAATATGAACTATGCGCGGGAAAAAGAGCGAGAAGTAAAATAGTTCAAATGTACGCAAACTGTAAGTATGGAATATAAGGGATATAGACATACCTAACCAAAACTAGTAGATCCTAATATGATAAGAAATTTAGAGAAAAGCTCAACTACAGCAATGCACAATCACACAGTAAGGTGGGATAGAGCGTCAGCATTAAAACTGAGTTGGGTGAAGAGAGAGAGAGAGACTGGTAACCCATTCTTTGTTTAGAAGTAGTATTCATTATGGACTGACATTAGTTGGGGAACCATTGAAAATCTGGGAGCACTGAACAGAACTGGATAACTCACTTAAATAGCAAGGTTTCAATGAACTCGAAATAATAACCATGCAATATTATGTATATAATTATTATTTATCCTTTGAGGTCCTAGTCAAGCAGAGGGCTTCAGTAGCATATCACCAGTCTTCTTAACCTAACACAACCACCGCCCACGAGCTTTCATTTCCTCCTTACATCATCTCTTCCATGTCACACTCGGACACCCAACTCATCGTTTCCCATTTGAGTTCCACTCGACGGCCTGGCCTGGAATATGATGTCCCCAAATCGTGTTCTCAGTGTACGCCCAAACCAATCCATCTCCACTTTCTTCTTCTGTATATTTTTTGAGCGATAGGTTCTCTGTTGGTTGATTCGTTGCAAGGCCAGAGTTCCTCCTTGCTTATTCTTTTTGACCTTCTGATCAATCTTCAGTATGCAGTGGGCATAGGCGTCAGCTGCTGATGTATGTCTGCAGTTTGTTGGAAATGCTGTTCGTAACGCGCCAAGTCTCTCAATCATCACATAGAAGCACTAACTGACTTGACTGAATTAGTGTTGAAAATTCGGATCTTGCTCACGCTTAAGGCTGAGTGCAGTAGATCTCCACACTGATTATTTCAGATTAATAAAGGAAGGCGTGTCTTTCTGTCTTTCTGATCCTGTCTACTTTGACATCCTCATCTGTACCTGTGCCGCCTGTAATGTAGACGATGCTGCCTAGGTAGGTAGGTGGGTGGGTGAAAGAGATAACTTCCTTTAGATTCCTCCCGTTCATGGTGATTCGTTGGTACTTGTTGTTCTTGTTGTTGTTGGTTGGGTGTCTTTATCACCTGTGTCTTCTCTATGTTCACCTGAAACAAGTCCCGTCTTCGCTGCCTCGTCTCGTCTCACCTCTCCTCGCCTCTTCTGCCAACTTGTTGGTTTCAACCTGTAGATCTTCGAGTTTGTGCGATATAAGACACTAGACATAAATCATCATCGTTGACAAAATACAAATTGTGTAGTGTCTTTTCATCGGTCAAACAGACTATGCCCATATTCTCATAGCTCCTCACAGTTTGTTGCATGATCCAGTGAAGACCAGTCCAGTGGACCACAATCATGAAGATGATCAGTGATAGTAGGCGGCATCCTTGTCTTACTCCTTCCTGTATTCACTTCACTTCGAAAGCATCACTGAGCTTTTGTATTGTAAATCACTTGGCATGTAGCATCGTCACCATCATGTGGCTGTTGTTGAATGAGGTTGATGAAGGTTTGTGGCACTAAAAACGTAGTGTTGAAACAGCTGCCTGCCAAAATACTTCTCGGTCAATGCTATCGAAGGCCTTTCAAAGTCGATGAAGTTGAGGTAAGTAGTTGACTGCCGTTCTATGCTCTGTTCAACGATGGTGCGTAGCGAAAACTGCTAAAATGTTATACAATAATAGTGATAAAACTGAAGAGATAGTGCTTTTTCATGAGGTACTGTTTTCTCTACCAATATAACATAAAAATAGATGTCACTTAGGTAGACGAGGTCTGACGAGTTCGAAAGGTAGGCTTTCTTCCAGTCGGGAGAACGGGAGAAATCTAAAGGAAGTTATCTCTTTCACCCACCTACCTACCTAGGCAGCATCGTTCCAACTACAGGCTGTACAGATGAAGATATCAAACCAGCTACGATCGGAAAGACAGAAAGATACGCCTTCCTTCATTAATCTGAAATAATCAGTGTGGAGATCTAGTGAACTGCACTGCACTTCACTCAGCATTAAACGTGAGCAAGATACGAATTTTCAACAATTCAGTCCAGTCAGTTAGTGCTTCCACGTGATGGTTGACAGATTTGGCGCGTTACGAATAGCATTTCCAACAAACTGCAGACATACATCAGCAGCTGACGCCTACGCCCACTGTATACTGAATATCGATCAGAAGGTCAGAAAGAATAAGCAAGGCGATGAGTGGAACCTAAATGGGAAACGATGAGTTGGGTGTCCGAGTGTGACATGGAGATGATGTAAGGAAGAAATGAAAGCTTGTGGGCAGTGGTTGTGTTAGGTTAAGAAGACTGGAGAGAAGATAGTGAAATGGTGATGTGCTATTGAAGCCCTCGGCTCGACTAGGAACTCAAAGGACAAATAACCGTAATTATAATAAAAAGGGTGCATAATATGTTTAGAACACATATTTAATGGATTAAAACAAATTTACAGGGAATAAAATTTGATGTTATATATTCAATGGGGATTCTCGATAGTCTCAAATTAACAATTAGTCAGAACGGCTTAATCATATTCATTCGTGTACGTTGTAATTGTTTTTTACATCGCCTCTAAGTACATTACTAAAGATGATAAGATAATCACTTGGTAAGCATTATGTAGAGTAGGATAGATTTCATTACCGACAACTGAGTATATAAATACATGAAAATTTTAGTGTATTAAAAATGAAAATGTGAGACAAAGAGAGGAAGAAAGGGAGAGAGAGAGAGAGAGAGAGAGAGAAAGGGACAAAAAGAGACCTGTTAAGATTTTCAGACAGTATGCAACATCAACTTGAGATATGAAACGGCACACAAAAACAACCTAGGTGTTGTTACTACTCAACGCTATACAACGTTCCGTGATGATAGGATTAACAATAGAACAATAACTTCTCAACTCAGTATTCTACTAATACCAGAAGAAGACGATGGGATTGAAAATTTATTTACTTCAACTGAATAATAGTAGGCGAAAAGTCTGGCCTTGGCCAGAGATAACAAATTAGTATAATTTAAAATGTAAGATGGAACAATCAGCGTTTAATATCCTAAACTGTGGTAAAAAAAAAATAACATAGAATGGCGCGAAAATAGGGATTAAACTTGTATTACTATACCCATCACACAAGACGTGGCTATCGTGGTTCGGTGGTGTAGTGGATAACGCTCTCTCGCGTCTGAAACAGTCGCTTTTGAGCCCGAATCCCGGTCGGAACAACACTCACTGGGAGGCAGGTACATCCAGCTGATGAGTCACGAATAGGACGAAAATGAGGATCCTGAATTCCACTGTTAGCCATTGCTCATCATTACTGTATATTATAAGTTTGTTGTCTTAAAAATTAGCCATCCCTAACAGTTCTCAGCTTTCATCTTTATTTCAAATATTTCACTCTTTCTAATGTAAACTTTCTGATTAGTCAGTTGGCTATTTATCACGTAAATAACTTTTTTACTAACCAAATTTAATGTCGTAGAGAACATAAATCTCTGTATGATGCTTCATTTACTGGGTCTAGATGGTCTCAAACCAAAATCCAGGTAGCAACCACCTTGTACGCATTCTTTTCAGTAGGCAACAATAAGCCACATCTATTGTATGATGGCTAGTAATTTTACATGACTGCGTAAACTTCGATTAAACTATTCAACTCACAGAAAGTAATACAACTAAGATCTATCCACTTGAGTTATAAATATTTATTCCCCATTATTTCAACATGCAAATTTCTCCTAAGTGTTCAAGAACACTATTATGTATGTAAGCGTTCATGCATTAAAGTATGAACGACATTTATACTATAGTGGAGTTAACGATACTACCCAATTGTTTAGGTCAAATTACATGATACGGAGTTCGAACACAAGCCGAATCACTTAACAGATGAGTACTAAAGTCAATAAGTTATTTACGCTACAACCTATTATCGTCTAAATATTCATTATTTGACAGTTTACTTGATCATAGTGAATAACGCTTTAGTATTTGAAGTGTTGAGTACTGAGTTCGAGTCCCAACGGGGAATATTATTACTCACTAGGATATAAGTACATCTAGTTAATGAGTACCAAGTTAAAAATATAACACACATCTTAGATTCCACCGTTAACCATCAAATAAACTATCACTTTCTAGTAAATACAATAATATCCAATGATTTGATCCAAATACACACACACACACACACACAAACAAACAACCCAATTTACCTGATTGATGAACCTGGAAGTTTAGGTTGTAAATCTCTTAATCTTGTAGCATTTGTAATTTTAAGTAAAAGAGGGGAAATAGTTAACTTATTCATAAGTTTCTGTTCTATATTTATACGTGAAAAAGCAAGTGTTAAAGTACCATTGATTGCTTGAATAGGTGGTTGACAAGTAGACGAAGCAGTTGAAAATGAACTACCACCACCATTAAAAAATCTAGCATACCATGTCTCTGTAAATGCAGCAGCTAAATTTATTGTATTATTCAATGAATTAATTGTATAATTAGAAGGTGAAAATGTAATATTCAAATGATTATGTAAACGAGCAGGAGGTTCAGGGATTATTCGATTTTCTTTATATATTGTATTATCGTTTATTTTAGTATTGAATGAAGAAGGCCAAGATATTGGAGGACTGAGAAATTGAGATTTTTCACCTGTATCTAAATCAAATGCCATCTAAACAATTTAATAGAAATAAAATGATTAAAGATAACATTTTAGAGAAACATTTAAGCTTTATAAACCTATACTTCAATTATCTTAGCAACTATATGAAAGTGTAAAAGATATGACATTAGGTGATTATTGCCTATTTGATACAAAAGGGGTTAGTAATAATAAATAGTAAAATATCTACTATGAAACTGTATCATCTTGTTGATATATTGCAAAATGTCACTAACTAATACCCATCTACTTATTCGCTTCCGCCTTCCATAAATTTTCGCCTACTTTAACATAACACTTTTTACATCCATATTATTTTCCCATACTGATATGAAGGATAGTGATATAAATTGATACACTTCTATGCCAAGCTCAACATGATCTGTGCCAACACAATACTAAATCAACGTAGAACCTCACACACAAACTCACTGATTAAACTTGCCAAACTTCATAATAGTATACAAAGAACAAGGGGATAGAAAACGAGTGAATACATATGCGCCATTGTGAGCGATTTTCAGTCACGTCACCAAGACTCAATCCTCAGCTACACAGTCTACATCAACCCAAATGGCGAACATCAACACTTAGATACACCATCGACTAGTACCATGTCTCGGTCTGGCCATGCTGAACACTCTATCAACTTACCCTAGCATAGCGCATCGAGGTGGGCAGTGGCTTAGCATGTGCAGTACACGTGCAAGCCATCTCAGTCGACTAAGGTTAACAACCTCATCAATTGGCTTGGCTGTCTTACCTAGTCACCTTTGCCTTATCCTAACATTCCTCACACCGTGATCCCACCAAACGCAAGCAATGCTAAGAGGACACCTATGATCAAAACCCTATGACCACTTCAGGTCTTCTACTTTCAACGACCATTTCTCATAGCGGTATAACATGAAAGAAAAGACAGCAGTGCAGTACACGCGTCCTTCGATAGATAGTCGCATGTCTCGCCGGCTCCAAAGGTGAACCAAGTTGAAAAATACCTGACGAACCTTCTGCATCGCAGCCAAAATTTCGTCAGCAACCAGGCGCTTTGGAGAGCTGATTTAACTCCCAAAGTAAGTGAAGTACTCGACACATTCCATCACTTCATTCCCTATCATTAAACTAAGAGTGGTTCCAGATCAGTCATAGAGTATCATCTTACACTTGTGACAAATACCAGCTAAACTCATACCAAACGTGCTCAGGTCTCTGCTCAACACGCTCACAAGATTCAGCGTCTTCAAACAGCAGGAGAATATCGCTTGCATAGTACAAGTCAACCAGAAGACCTCCAGAGAGTAGGTCGATCCCTGGGAAGTCAGAATTACCCAAAGTTAGGTCCATTAGTACGTCTATAAAGAAGTAAGAACAGTGACTGTGGACATCGCTGGTGAACACCACTAGTTGTTGTCAATTCATACGACAACTCTCGGCAAACCCTGTGTGAGCCCAAGTAAAAAGTTTTAATTAGCATCATGTACATCCTCGGTACTCCCTTCACAATTAGACAATGCCACAACATCTCACGACTGACAGCATCAAATGGCGTCTGAAGGTAGAGAAATATGGCGACACAGATCTTTAAGTATTTCTATACCGGAGGGTGAAAATCTGACTCAGACAACGCAATCTAAACCTACGTTAACAGACCAAAGCAAAAGTCAAGATTGAATTTGCGGGTTTGTGCAGATCTAGAAATTTTTCAAGTTGGTATGCATCACGGACTGACATTAGTCGGAGGAACGTTGGAAACCTGAGACCACTAAACAGTCAGCTATTTCGTCCTAGTTTGGGACTCTTCAGCAGTGTGCACCCACAACCTTTAGGTTCCGTGGCCAGCACATTACTAATGAAAAAAGTCATAAAATTCATGAGTTGGTGCCACATCTCAGTCTGGCCACCTTTTGCCTTTCTCTAACTTGACCTTATTTTCGCACGGGTTGTGATTCATCATACGTGATGACTTGAATTCCGCAACCCATCTCTCTCCAAGCCACATCAGTCAATAAAGCTTTAACATAGTGGTTCCATTAATCCAATATAACCTTTAAAAAAATAATTAATTAAACTTTCCTTCATTGTGAAGTTCTAATGACGATATCTAGTATGACATTGAAAACGTTATCCAGTTGAAATTTTAGCTCACAGAATAATTGACAATGAATATTCACACCGTGAAGTACAAAAATATATTCACTACAATAATTTTTATCTTACACTTACCCAATTCAATTGACCAATTGATTCATTAGTAGATGTAGGCAATGCACTAGAACATCGTCGAATTGTATCATCATCTACAGGCCAGACATTAAAATTATTTAGAATAGATGATGAATCTTTTTTCTCTGAATTGTCAATAAGACTACTACAACTGACAGAATCATTGAATTCTAATTGAAAATTAGAAGAAGATTTCTGTTGAAATGAATTAACATTATCTTCTTCAATAGTCCTCTTGTTTTTCTTATCTTGAACATTGAATAAGGTATCTAAAGATGATAAATTAGAATTTGTATTACTATTATTATTATTACTATTATTATTACTGTTAATTTCATTCGATTTAAACAACGACTTCACAATATTCCAATGAATAAACATAATTATAGACAAAAACAAGATGAAACATGAATATGAGGATTTAGAAGTAGTATTTCATTATGGATTGATATCAGTTGGGGAACCATTGAATATCTAGGAGCACTGGACAGTTATTTCGTCTAACTAGTATAGAACTCCTCAGCAATACATACCTATGATCCGGTTAGGGATCGAAGTCACGACCTTTAGGTTTCATAGTGAATAAGTTAACCATTCAGCCACTGGGTCAGTTTTCAATGGTTCACAATTTCTATCAATTCATGAATATGGATTGTTTACAGTGCATAACATCACATAAACATACATAGCCATTGTAAAATCCTTCAAATTTCAGTATATATAATAGGTATCCAGGTTATTGTTTACATTCCCTTGCTGTTTTCAACCAACAGATAATGAGTTCAAAAACCCACCTCACCTGTTACCAGTGAAGTATAGGTAGCCAGATAAACCTGACACACAATATGTGTGGTTCAATGCCTATAAAACAAATGTGCATTTTGGAATTTTCGTTTATCCAAAAACATGCAACTGAAAATGATATCGTCTGGAAAAATCTCTTAACAGTTACACCCAATAATGATGGGTAGTGGCTTGTAGCAGAATCCAAGATGCGCGTTTCGTCCTGTTTGGGATTCGTCAGCTAGATGTACATCCCACCCAGTGAATGATGTTGTTCCAACTAGGACTCGTATCTAGGACCAATCGCTTCAAGCTCCAGAGTGTTATTCAGCATACTCAACACCATTAGTTACACCTTTATTCTATAATTTAAATAAATGGGTTTTTTTCAATCATCAAGTATAATTTACGAAGTTTTAATCAAATATAACTAAGACATTTGGCGAAAAGTACTGTACTGTAAGTCTTCTAAAATGACTACAGCACATGCAGGAAATACAATACCATTAAAATACAACTTTAGGTAAAAACCCCATAAAAACAAAAAAAGTATTAGTTTGAGGTAGATGACATACACGTTAAGAATCTTTTAGAAAAAACTTGAAAAACTAGAAAAACGGATTTCAAAGAATAACCTGGATTGTTTGCTACCTTGGTGATCCTAATCTGAGTGTTGTGATCGATTATAACAGACCCACCTAACGAGGCAAAAGTTTACCCGAAACTCCAAAAAATAATACAGTATAATTTACACCAACCCAAACACTTCAGCAGCCATAAAACTATCAGTGAACACAAACCCTCCGATAAAACCAGAAGTCCTGAACCCGATAAAGCCACTGAAAACCGAGAAAGCAGTAGAACAAGAAGATGGAATTCCTCCAGAAGCACCGAAAACACACTCAGAGACATCAGTGGATATACTCACACCACACCACCATCGCAGAAGGCTTGAAAGGAAAGGTACGCACCGACTGGAAGAAGGGCTACCTTGTCAAACTCCGAAACAAGGCAGACCTAAGTCTTTGCAAGAACTGGTGACGAATCATGCTCCACTTGTGTCCACCTCAAACAAAACATTAAGCCACATCATCATGGAGACTAAAAGAATGATCTCCATTCAAAATTACGACCGGAACAAGCTGGCTGGCTTCAGGTAAGACAAATCATTTGCGGATCGAATTCAAACCCTACGCATCATCATAGAACAGAGCATAGAATGGCAGAATGGCAACTCTCTACCTCAACTTCATCGACTTTGTAAGGCCTTCGATAGCGTCGACCGAGAAGTAATTTGGCAGGCAGCTGTTTCAACACTACGCTTTTAGTGCAACAAATCTTCAGCAACCTTGTGAGGGTGCCACATGCCGAGTGACTGACTATGGAAAGCTCAGTGATGCCCTCGAAGTGAAGTGAATACAGGAAGGAGTAAGACAAGGATGCCGCCTACTATCACTGATCATCTTCATGATTGTGGTCCACTGGACTGGTCTTCACTGGATCATGCAACAAACTGTGAGGAGCTATGAGAATATGGGCATACTCTGTTTGACCGATGAAACGACCCTATACAATTTGCATTTTGTCAACGATGATGATTTATGTCTAGTGTCTTATATCGCACAAACTCGAAGATCTACAGGTTGAAACTAACAAGTTGTCAGAAGAGGTGAGGAGAGGTGAGACGAGGCGAGGCAGCGAAGACGGAACTTGCTCCAGGTGAACGTAGAGAAGACACAGGTGATGAAGACACCCAACCAACAACAACAAGAACAACAAGTACCAACCAATCACCATGAACGGGAGAAATCTAAAGGAAGTTATCTCTTTCACCCACCTACCTACCTAGGCAGCATCGTTTCAACTACATGGGGCACAGATGAAGACGTCAAAGCCACGATCGGAAAGACAGAGAGAAAGGCCATTCGGGGACATCACACGCCAGGTCAGGCTGTCGAGTGGAAGTCAAATGGGAAACGACCAGTTGGTCGTCCGAGGGTGACATGGAGGTAATGGTGTGAGAAAGAAATGAAAACTTATGGACAGTCATAGAGCCAGGTTAAGAAGACTGGAGAGAACAGAGTGAAATGGCGATAAATAATAACAAACACTTCACTCCTTGACCTTTTCTTTTACAACGTACAATGTCTACAGTTAAATTGTATTATTATTACTATTATTATTATTAGTCCCTTGGGTTCCTAGTGGAACATAGGGCTTCAGTAGCACGTCTCCATTTCATCCTGTTCTCTGAGATCTTTTGAACTTGGTTCCACGACAGCCCATAAGCTCTCACTTCCTCCTCGCACGACCTCCTCCATGTCACCCTCACCTCGGACGTCCAAATCGTCGCTCCCCATGGGGATTCCACTCGAGTAACTGGCCTGACGCGTGATGTCCCCAGTCGGCCTTCTCAGTGCATGTCCAATCCACCTCCACTTCCTCCTGCATATTTGTTGCGTGTATTACACTACATTATTGCAAGGAGAAATACACATATACAGTGTTTCAAAGCCAACAATTATCTAATAAGTTTCATCAGAAAATGTTTCAACAGAAATCACCAAGAAATACAATTGATACTAAATGAATGGAATCCAAAACGAACATTTCAGCTAGATATGTTTGTCTCCCAGTGTAGTTGTCATAAATCGCCATATATATTACCCTATCGTACATCAAGAACATCTCACATATCACTTATTGATGGTTTCATTGGCTTAACATTTGGAAAGTCACACAAACTAATGAAATCACTACGTGTAATACTACGTGTAAATCAATCGATCCATTGTCAATAGAACAAACATAATTTACAAAATTATTGGAGACAATAAAAAGTGAAATCATCGCATGAACTGACAAAAAATTTATTCAATGACTAACTACTATTTGATATTTGAAGAGCAGATTATCATCATTTCACCTTAATGGCCATTTTGTTATACACAAATAACTGGGTTATTTCATTAAAATTCTTGTTTCGCTCTTGGTTAACATACCAGTTGAGTGAACACATTCAATCTGTCCAAGTCATAGAGTAAGTATACAATTCAATCATCTACTACTCCACTGTACAGTAGAGCAACAAAAAATTCTCAATTTTAGCTACCAGATAGCTCAAAGAATTTACGAACATCAGCTAGAAATACAATCCAAGGATGACTTATCCTTGGTTTCAATGATCACAGACAATCAAAGTTACCATTTTCACTGGTAGAATGTAAAACTCCTACAATATAATACATCTAAAGAGTGCAAGTGAAGTTTAAGAAACCAGACAATCAGTATACTTTTGCATATACAACCAATCAGAAATCTGCTTAGGAAGTAAGCAGTAATCTATCATAGTGACAGTAACAAGTGGCATATTCTAACTAAAACAAATAATTTATTTTGAGGGAGTTGTGGGGATTTGAAAATATTTCAAGTTGTTATTCATCGTAGACTGACATCAGATGGAGGAACAAAGGAAACCTGGAAAGCTGTTTCTTTCTAGTATGGGACTCCTCAGCAGTGAGCACCCACGACCCTGCCAGGGATCGAACCCGCGACCTTCAGGTTGAGCTAACAGAAGTTAGAAATATGGACGATTGGATTCTGACCCAGTGGCTAGCTTAATGGTAATGTGCTGGCCATGGAACCTGAAGGTCGTGGGTCCGACCCCTGGTGGGCTCGTGGGTGCGCACTGCAGAGGAGTCCCATATTAGGACGAAACAGCCGTCCAGTGCTCCCAGGTTTCCCTTGTTCCTCCATCTGATATCAGTCTACGACGAATAACAACTTGAAATAATCTATTTGACTATGATCTAATTAAATGTAAGGTGAAATGTGAGAAAATCCGCTTCCTAATCTACAGGTGGGCAACAGTAACAAAGGTTATGCGACCTTAGAGCATGTCTCACTGTTTATTCAAGTCAGTGCTGATGAAATAACAAGATCTGATAGCGAAATATCGATAATTGAACATTAAAGTTTAGCCTGAGCTACAAAACCTCAGTATCTCGACAATCGATAGATATCTTGATACTAAGGTTGCTTGCTTTCTATTCAGTGAGTTGAAGTGAACTCCAGAAACACCTGTTACAGAAAGGTATCTGTAACTTTACTGACATCCTAAAAGCTCTATAGATGAAAGCACTCCTGATAGGTGTTAATTGGTTAGAGGCAATGGACAGGAAGACTTAAGTCACATAGGTTTCGTACGTGTTGGCACTCGTCAGCAAGGTGTATTTGCAACCTCGAGGGAACTGATGTCCCTCCTATGAGATTCGAACCCACGACATCCAGTGTGTTGTAGTCAGCAATGTTACCACTAAGCTAGTGGGGCACCAACTGACCTCCTGTAGAATTGAATTTCATTGTTCACGAGATATGTTAAGTGTCGATTGTTAAGCAATGATCTAAACAGGTAAGGTTACTATTACAAGCTGTCTGTCTGAACAAAAGCGGTCAGGTAAGGAGAAAGATAATTTTTGTTTACACT